CCATCTGTGATCTTTCTGTGGCTCTCTCCACGGTCTTGGCTCTGATGACCCTCATCTGTCTGTCGCCTTGACGGTGGAACATTCTCACCACAGACTTCTGATGGTTGGCTTTGTCTCATCTTTCTGGCTGTCTTTAAATATGATTTCCTTCACAATGTAGCTTATGATTCATAATTATTGTTATGTTTACTAGAATTTCACTTATTCTCCCATCCGCACGTAGGTTCCCTGAGGATAAGAACCCCTTTGCCCTGTTTTTTATAGTGGGGGGGGTGTTTCATTACTATTCTGCGCTTCTAATATCAAATGTACCTCCTGTCTGGTTTTGGTCTGCTTTTTAATACTTTGAGCATTAGAAACTCATGTCATACCAAAATATTTACAGGAATGATTCACTAAATTGTGTTATAACAATAATTAAACCGATCTTATGACACAACTTTTATTTGCCTGCATCGACAAATAGCTAACTGTTCAAGCTTTTTGTCAGGAAGTTTCAAGTAGAAAAACAGTTATTGGCACCGATGTACACTAACATCATTCACTTGAATTAAATGAGAGGAAACTATTTTCAAAAGCATGGAAGCATCTTTTTGAGGTAGGATTAATCTGAAAGCTATTATTATTATTTTTGAATAGCCATCACATCTCCCAAGTACTAGTTAAGGAGGAAGCTAAGCTTTCTTAGGTGGAAGTATTGACTTGGATTTAAACAATGAGTACTTCATCTTGTGTTTACTCAGTCCATTAAATGATAATTCATTTCTTTCTTTGTAAAACACTACCTGGGTGAACTGTTTATTTACTTGGTCTGACTTTCTAATTTAAAATTATTCAGTCTATAAATAAAGAGTGTGAACAGATTTGGCTATTAGACTGGAATAGAATTTATTTTAGTTTAGTTTGAAATATAAAATATAAATATTTTTTATATTTTAAATTTTATTATTTTAACAGATAATATAAAAATTTTGGTCAAAGGTAAGAAACAAATACACTTGATATTTTAGTAATCAGTATTTACCTAATTTTCTACTTTCAAATTTTAAAGGGGTATTATTGACACGCAAATACAGAAGTAATTACTTGTTTTCAGTGCCTATATGTACATATATAAACTATTGTTTCAAAAGTATCCTTAATCAAATTAAATAAATCACAATAAAGTTATACACTTGATAAAACCTAATCAAATTTGTTCCACATTTCTTTGGTAAAATAAAGTGGGTCTCTTTGTTCAATTAATCTATTTTTCTAAAATTATTTTGGTAAAAAATAGCAGATTCTACTTTTTAATTAGCCTAATTCTAAACTTAGTAAATATTAAAATATATTATAAGGCAAAACTAAAAATTTAAAAACAGATAAATTAAGAATAGCAAAAATAGATATTTTATATTAAATTTCCTTCCTATCTTTTCATTTGTATATATGCATATTACTTATATATGCATGTATATGATATGATCCAACTCACTTTTCAAAATAAGAGATATTCTGGTTATTTTACAACTAACAAAATAATTAAAAGTAATTTGGGAAGTAATATAAATAAGTACTCATGTAAATAAAATATTACTTACAATAACATTTTAAAAATAAACTCTAGGAAAAGCAGGAAAAACTATGCTGCTTTAAATAAGCATTTGAAGAAATGAATTTGCATTTTACAAAGTTAAACAGATGACTATACAATTTCTTTTTAAAATGTTAATCGTGAAAAAGAGCATAACAATTTCTCATCACAAGCCTGACACACTCCTCTCTCCTCGTTACGCCCCTCACAAACCAGCTTCGCAGACACTGCCTCCCTCCACTCTCTCCATCCAGTTTGGGATTTTCACCTTCCCTGTACTTCCTTTGTTTACCTCCATCACAATACTTTATATGATAAAATCCAATATGCTAATTAAATGCAATAATCATTCTTTTGGTTTTCCCCACTAAGTGACTATCTTTTGGAAAGTGCTAGTCAGCCAGTGAGCACAGTACTTAGCAGTTAATCCAGAAATAATCGTAGAATGAACAAATGAATGAATGAATGCATGAATGCATGAAGCTAGCTCGGAACCTTTCCATTGTATCTGTTGTCTGCTGTGGACAACCTGTGGAAGGGCATCGTAGATGGAAGCAAATGTAAAGGACGAGCAGGGAGGACACAACATTGAAACCTTAGTTGCATGGACTCAAAAAACTGTAATATCTATAACCCACTGTCCAGTCTTGTTCACATGCCCTAAGTTTGAATTTATGTTGCACTTTCTAAAGTCATAAATCAATTTTGCTTAAAAATACCTTGTGGGAACCTTTAAAGGAACATTTTTATAATCTCCTTTCAATCCATTATATTTCTAGTTAACAGGGGTTATGAGAAACTTGGCTCTCTCCATTAAAATGTCCAAACAAATAAAAGTACCCTGTCAAATCTTTTATTCTCCTTTCCCTTTATTTTTTTGTGTGGTTTTTTTCTGTTTCATTATTTTCTCAGAACCATTTTCATGTTTCCTTATCATTTTAAGCTAAAATCTAACAAATTTTTCCCTCATTACACCATGTCCTTTTCATGCACTGTGTTCTGAGACCAGTTACAGTTGTTAAGAAATGGGTCAAGTGCACATGAGTGAAGAGAATGCAGAATGGATTGGTTGGCAGAACAACACAACCAGGCAGGTGGGGGAATGGGTGTGGGGTGAGGAGGAGGAGGCCATGCTGGAAAGAAGGGAAAGTGGTAAAGGCAGTGGGACCATCTGGGTTTGACCAAATAAAAATGGATCAGTGTAGACTCTGGCTCCAGCCCTGGCAGTCAAAGGTCAATAATGAAGAATCTCTAATAACCTGGGCTTCAATTTCTATTTGGGAACTTGCTTCTAGCTGAGAATAATTTTAGCAACACTGAAACCATTCAGTTCTACTTTACCATTTTCCACAAGCATGTGAAGAGTAGATGCATTTCCAGGACATGCCTACCCTTAAATAACAAGGCTTGCTTTGGTAGGTCTCCACCCCATCTCAAACGGTGTCCTGGACCACTGCATCTATTGGATCTAGGCTACCTGGAAATACCCATCTTCCAGAATTGCTTCGTCTGGTTCTTACACTGCTTCTCCTCCATTTCTACTTCCCCCCACTAAAATTGTTGCAGGAAAGTTGTCCACTTGTAATAATTCACAGAAAACTAATTTAGTTTCAGAATTCTTTTGCAAACAAGGAATAAAATGGTCGTTCTGTAGTCACGGAAAATTCACATCATTTCCCTCTACCAGCTGGTGCATTATGGATGCATTTGTCAAAGCCGTGACACTAACTTGAGTGTTGTTTAAACATCACAGCTGCACTTACCCTGTTCGGAATTAGCCAGATGCATAGTCATCTCCCTGTGACATCTATAGGGACCAGCTCACCGGCAGAAACTGATGTCACACTTCAACACACACTGATGGCATACGCCATTTGAAATTGATTACATCAGCACAGAATTTAAACTCCTTCAATTTTTATCACTAATACTTTGTTGCAGCAAGTCCTGACACTTCAAATTGCACTTTGTAATCACTTAAACAGTTTATCCAACTTGGCTCGATTCTTGAGGTTTAAACATGAACTAGAAAGAAAACAAATCTCTACGTGACAAAAGATGTCTCCGTAAAACCTCAACAAACAACAAGTGATAGGCGTGACCCTAAAAGTATTCCTACTACAAGAAGACAGGACACGTGTAAAGAAAAAGTTTTCTAAGATTAGTAACACTGACATTGTTCCGAACTGTTTGTCAAGGTATAATGTTTTACTTCTAAACACTTATTGTCATATTGATATGTGCAGGGAAATAATTATATGCCTCGTCTTAAAAGTAGCTGCTATAAAGTTTACAAGCTGAAAATCACACAATAATATATTAGAATGTATCACTAAAATAAGCTCTATTTCTCAAAAAGTACTAAACACATTGGAATAAATTTAAATAAATTGCTATAGGATATAAGGGAAAAAAGATATCTGCCTTTATTTTCTAGTGAAAGACCCCCAGGCAGGTCTTCCCTGACAATATTCCTCAGTGGTTAAAGGCTGACAGGAGGGAGCTTTGTAGTCGAGCCTTGTCACCCTAGTGAAGACTTTTGAGAATTTATGAATGATAAGTAATTCATTTGGTTTTAAAATACCAATCGTCTACCTATCACATAATTAACTATCATGAACCAGGAAAGCGAATTTCCTTCAAGAAGAAACTTATTAATGTATTGAGACATGGTGATAGAATTGCATGTAATTATGAATCCAGAAATTGCCCTATTGATGCCAGAAAGAAACTCCCCCACATTCCCATTCACTACACCTAAAGAGCATTCTTTTAGAATGTTATCTTACATACAACCACAGGGAGAAAACCCTTTTCAACAATCTCTATTACAGAGATTACATTTTCATTTTTTTCAAAATCATATAATGTTTTTATTCTAATGATTCAAGTAAATACACACCTACCAGAATTTTAAGGCCATGACAATATCAGTGCTAAATGATAAATATTTCTTGAGAAAGAGTTAATATCTATTTCTGAAATAAATTCAATCATTATATGATTTGAAGGATTTTATTGTCTAATTCATGTTCAGGTTCTATGAACATTCACATACAGTTAAATACTTTGACATAAAGCCATTTTAGTAAAAATCCTAAGCAAAAAAGTAAATCATATTTTATGACAGTTACAAAAGAAGCAATTATACATATTATAATGTTCGAAAATATTTAAAAATATTTTCTGGAATCTTATAACACATAAAATTATGGAAAACAATCAGAAAGTCACTCAAATAAGCTTTGTATAGGATGTAAACTTCACACCGTCAAAACCACTCAAATGCTAAGCTACACAGCTGTAAAAAAATCCACATTTTGTAGACCACATTTTTATTACCACTATGAAAAGCATATTAGCAAATGCCCGATAATAGAGTTAGAGAAAAAAAACCCCAAAACCTTTCATTTTTTACTCTTACCTTGAGCTACACAACCTGTCCATAACATAAGCCACAGGACCTTTGCTGGGAATCTCATTTCGGGGGATCTTTCAGGGGTACATTTAGTGGCTGACAATGCTCACACTCTCTCGGGTTCTCTCCTCTGTGAAGAAAAGTTGTGATGAGTGCAGGAAAGTACTTGCTCCAGAAGGAAGTTGAAATGTAGGTCAGGAAACAAAGAGATGACCAAATGCCCCTCCCATCAGAAACATTTGCAAAGTTAGGGGGAAAAAAAATCCAGCACAAGCCCCAGCAGCTCAGAGTTTGCAGACAGTCTCAGGGCGCTCCCTCCCACTGCATGCCAGTGCTCTGGCTGGCAGCTCTTGCTTTGTTTTTATAAACCCAGGCAAGTTCTCTGCGGGAACCTGCCCGTGTTCTGGGAGTGGGCAGAGCAATAACTCCTGATGCCCTCTGGGTTCAGAGACCCTCCACTTACACAAACCCCTGTCAGGCCAATAGTACAGACACCCCAGCAGATAAAGTACTGAAGCTCTTTTAAAAATCCTTTACCGAACCCGAGGGCAGACAACCCTCCCACAGTGGAGACCTGGATGACGTGGGTCAACATTACCAAGAATGCAGAGCTGGCTGATCCGGAGCACCTGCTTCTCTGGAAATTTATGCAGTTAATCTTCCTGTGTGTCAAGTCACAGGTATAAGCGAATTTAATAATTAAGAAAGCACAAAATGGGAATGCTGGCGTTTTAAAACTTTGTATTGAGACTGCAGAAAGAGAATAGAAGCAAATGCTTGCTGAATATTAAGAAGGTGAAGACACTGAACAACACCCCCTTGCAGAAAACCCCAGTCCTCCCATTCCACCAGGCCCTCCCCCCTCCTCCCCCAACACAGGTGCCCTCTGGCCTGGTCTCAAAGACCATGGGATCGGTTGGCCAGTTTGGGTACTTTATATAAATCAAATAAAGATTGATTCTTTTGTGTTGAGATCCTTCCACTAAGAATTTTCTTTAGTTCATTCAACCACACTTTTGTGCATAGATACACAGATTATAAATTTTGTAGCTGTGTAACAGTCCATTACTTGAATATGCCACATTTTATTTATCTTTGTGCCCGTGAATGGGCATCTGAGTAGATTCTCATTTGGACTGCTATGTTATTCAAAGTTTCAAAAAATCACCATTTCATATTTTTAGAATTAGAAGTCAGCGACATCTACGTTAAGTGGCAAATGGCTGGTAGGAGCAATCCATATATACCACGGGAGTGTACAGCAAGAAATTACTTCCTCCAAAGCCTTGATTAGGGATGATCTTGTGAATATTTCATCATTAAATTATAGTGTAAAGGAAGCATGCACCTGAGCAAAGACTCTGAGGTACAGAGGAAAGTGTCGAATGTTCTAGAATTAACCAGAACACCGACACTGGAGCCCTGGTGTTGCACCAGGAAGTTGCAAGAAGTTGCGGAAGAAGTAAGAGGGGTTTTGAATGAGGAGTGGTTTGAATTTCAGATTAAAAAAACCGTACATCGTTTTATAGGCACTATGTAATCTCTGATAGATTTAATCAAGGAAAAGGACTGTAGGAAGTTCAGTGTGGGAGTGTCCGTGGCAGTTGCAATGACATGGAGGGAGAGGAAAGGCCTTGGGAGAATATGTAGCAAATGAGCAGATTCCTGAAGGAATTCCTGACTCACCAGTGGCTGGAAGCTACATGGAAAGACAAAGGCAAAACTGAGAAAAGAGTCGGAGCTGATGAAATGTGGCCACAGGAATTCTCATTTGAACAGACCCAGTTGAGGACCAAAAGGCACCCCCAGTGATGTTTCTTTGAGGGTATGACGTTTTTGTAAAAACTGAAGACACCTTTAACTGCTGGAGCGTAAGCTCCCCCTCCAACTTGCTTCTACCACGTCTGCTGACACCAGACAGCTCCGGGCAGGTGGGGGACTCAACCGAGAACTCTAGGACAGAATCCACTTAGCTTGCGATCGCTCGGGGATATGCTGTAATCACCATCGTAAATAACCTGGTAACCGCGGCCCTCCAAGTGTAAGACTGGCTCCTAGCAATATGCCTGTCACCCCTATGTCCGTCCAACCAGTGGGCACCGTGACACCAACGTGAAGGCTGAAGGCATAGCACACACATGTGTGCCAGGCAGTGCCTGGCCCAGGGCTAGACGGGTATTGAAGAAGAAAGAAGTGTGTAAAAGTATGGAAATGATCATCACACACATACCAATTTAAGTAGATGGCTCCATTCTCCTGGGTGCCTGGTAAGCTGGTAAGGACGGAAGTCTGCTCTTGTGCAGGCTGCGTTGACATCAGTGAGGATGCCGGGACATTGAATGTCTCTGCCAGTGGCATTGAGGGCAAACTAGTTCTCAGGACCTCAGTCCGGAGAGTGTTTAAAAGTATCGATCGCAGCTCAAAGACTCTTCCAATGCCCTGAAATCTGGTACTTCATCATGTCAGGAAGGTTTCACGGAGTTTTTCCAAAACTTGCCAACAACCCTAAGAATTTATAGGACAGTACAGATCACGAGTTATGAACCTTTCCAACATTTCAACAACAGGCAACAGATTTAAATCACACCCGCAAAAGAAAAAACTGAATTACTTTTCTACTTTCTCCATACAGTAAATACTAGAGAATTGTGTCATGTGAAGAGATAATCCACAGAGTATTCAGCCAAAAATGTAAAGTAAGGGCATCATAGTGTGTCAGACAATTAATATGCAGATTAGGTTATTTCTGGTTTTCATAATGTCTACAGTATTTGTAAGTGTATTAACTTTGTGATTAGCAATAATTCATTTCTAACTTTAAGTTTCTTTTTTGATTTCTAATTTCAAGCCAATATTTGCTTTCAATGCTAATTTTTGTTCTCAGTCTGCGTTCCCCTTGAGGCGGTCTGTCCAAATTGCAGGCCCCATCCAAAGAGACTGGGCCTTTTTTTGAGTACGGTGCAGTATAAAAAGTGACAGGTGACAACGAGGGTCACTCTGTACTGTGATATCTAGGACACCAGAAGGACCCTTATGTCGTCCCAAAGACGTGTTTTTACAGGACAGTGCTTCGTGCCCTTACGGTTTCCTGAATCTAATCCCCGCATGACAGTCTTTGTTATTGGGTTGCTTCAGGCCATTAACAGCTCTGGCTTCTGAACCCATATTTGCAATGGCGGCCATGAACAAACTTACTCTTGTTTAAGTTTAAATTAATTCCATAGAACCTGGGGAACTGTCGTCTTTCCTCTTCGGTCACGTGAAAAACCAGGTACAGGTTACCCAACATAAGCACGGGCTCAGGTGAAGGTCCTCCTTGTGCATCCTCACCTGCCTGGAGAAGCCCTCCCATTGCAGGGCTCCCCTCCCTGCCTCCCAGGAGGTGCCCGCCTTCACTTCTTCCCAAGGGGCACCTCGACTCTGCTGGCAAAGCCTAATTTAATCATTCTTAAGGAAGAAAAGAACAACATCTCTGCCTTTTCTTTAATTCTATTTGGGAGGAAATGAGGACCCAAGGGCCTCCATTTTTATTTGTTGCACTTATTTTATTAGGTGCTTTTCTACAACTGGATTGCAGGCTCTTTGAATGATTCAACCTCTTAACCGAAAAGAAGGAAAAAAAAAAACCCTGTTATCTCCTTGGAACTTTCTCAGTCTTGTCGGAGCACCTTTGGGAGACTGGAGGGGCCTGTGCAGAGGACGAGCCCCTCCCTTCCCTACACCCACAGGCCCTCTTTCCCTGGTCCCCATGCATGCACCCCAGGGCGCCCCCCCCCCAGCTGCATGTTTCTGAGACTTTTCAGGCCTCTATGCGGACTCTGTGAGCAAAGTCCCCTGTTTGCCTCAGTGCGGAGATTGCTTCACCACGCCCCCTGAGCCGGCAGCCGTGGCTGATTGATGATTAACTTCTGTGTGCCAGGTGCTGTATCAAATCATTATCTACTCCAATTCCCCCATAAACCGTGGAAGCCGGTTCTAGCACCCCATTTTCACACAGGTGACTTAGTGACCTACTTAAGAGTAGAGCCCAACCTGCCTGGTTTTACGGTTGGTTGTGTCAACCCTTGGCTTCCCACCCCCATTCTGACTGTAAATGTGCGTTACCCCCACACTTCGGCCCCAATTTTTGTTCTGAACAGAGAAAACTCTTAGAGTTGGCCAGTGAGATGAACCATGCCCCGTGCTATCCCACCTCCAAAACACAGGAAAATTTGAAATAGCAATCAGCCTAGACTTCTGATAACAGAGATGTGAACACCTGAACGCCTAGGGTATCATATGCCTCCTTTTTCTCTGTCCCTTGAAGTGGTGAATCTTTCCATCTCTTTGACACGTGTGAACACCCCAGAAGACACCCAAAACTTTGTCCCCAGAGACTGAAGGAAAAATAAGGTGGGGGTAAGGAGTGGGTAAGAGGCTTTTTAAAATACAGCCTGGGCTGTATGTGTCTAGAAGCAACCTTGCCCCAAGTCTAGTCCAAATCCTGCATAAGACTGTCAAGGGCAAATACACACATGTTAAAAGTTTTCTCCACAAATATTAGGGGAAAGCTCTGGCCATGGGAGCAGGCATCTAACTCGTGGCCGAAGTCTGGACCCAAAGTGAAGGCGTCTTTCTTGCATCCGCAGGTTTATGCATCTCAGTGGAGGTTACACTGTGTGCTTGTGATGTTTTTCTGTCTCCGAAGGATATTGCCAAAGTTATTCCATGAAAAATTTCTCTTCAGTTGGTTTAAAATTAGTTTTAATATTAATAGCATATTTAGGTAAAACTGAAACTTAATTCTCATCTGCTGATAGGACAGAGTTTTCTTGGACTCTTGGTCTGTTCTTGATAAGATTGTGAAAGATTTGTTTACATTTTGTGTAATCTGTCCAGGAAACAACGGTTCTGTGTTTTATGAAAATGATTTCCCATACTTACCATTTCCTTTATTGGGGTTTAGATTATTTAAGGAAACTGATTCTTCTCCATTATAAGGGCCATTTTTTAATTTTTACAACTGTGTAACAGCCCAGATTTGCCTTTGATTTCTTTAATAGTGACTTTGGTTCAATGAGTAACTAAGTATTGTCTCACCATGACCTATGAACCTTTTTAATTGAGTGTTTTATACATTTTGACATTTACTACAAACTTCCCCAGAATTAAATTTTAAATGAGTCTTGTTGAACTAATCCTTGAACTAAGTCTGGGATTTTTAGGAGGGTCCCTGGAACATCTCAAAAGATGTACTGTCTCTTTTTTTATTAGAGATATTAAATTAATTAGGCTTATTTGATATGTTAAACTACATGGGAAGCATTGTCAAATGAGAAATGATACTAAACCTTTCTTTAGGTT